CTAGTTTCTACCCTAACCCCTAATTCTACCATGAAACTCTAGATTTTTGGTTGAAAATTCAAGAAATGTAATGGGTAATTGAAAAAAAAATGGTTTAGAATCACTTACCAACAATTTGGGGAAGAAATGACTCATGAAAAATCGCCTCTCACCCTTTGGTTTTGAGAAAAATGAGTTTTTGGCTAAAATCCCGTTTTTGGATTCTGTTAAATGCTGGGCGACAGTGTTCATCGCATTCGCGAAGGGTACTGGCTGCCAAGCCTTCGCGTTCGCGAGACCCAGCTTGCGTTTGCGATGATCACTCCCCCTGGCCTTCGCGTTCGCAAGACATGGCTCGCGTTCGCGATGAAGCAACAACCAACCACCCCCAGGCCCCCACATGCTTCGCGTTCGCGTTGAGACAGTCGCGTTCGCGAAGGGTAAGTCCCCCATCACTTCGCGTTCGCAACCAGGCCTTCGCGTTAGCGACCAGGCCTTCTTCAGATGTCCGGTTTACTCTACGCGTTCCCGAGAGTACTTTCGCGAACGCGAAGAAGGACATGCCAGGACATAGACTCTGCAGAAAACCAGATTTCCAAAGTCCAAAACATCCCGTGACCTATCCGAAACTCACCCAAGCCCTTGGGGCTCCAAATCAAACATGCACACAGGTCTAAAAACATCATACGAACTTGCTCGCGCGATCAAATCGCCAAAATAACATATAGAACTATGAATTTAGCACCAAATTGAATGAAATCCTCAAGAACACTTAAAAATTACTATTTTCTCAACCGAAGGTCCGAATCACGTCAAATCAACTCTATTTCTCACCAAATTTCTAAGACATGTCTTAAATATTATAATGAACTTGTATCGGACTCCAGAACCATAATACGAACCCGATACTAACAATGCTAAATATCAATCGATTCTTAAAAACAAATAACTTCCAAACTTTTAATTTTTATCAAAAATTCATAACTCAAGCTAGGGACCTCTAAATTCAATTCCGGGCATACGCCCAGGTCTCATAATTTGATACGGACCCACCGGGACCATCAAAATACGGATCCGGGCCCGTTTACCAAAAATATTAACCGAAATCAACTAAAATTAACTTTCAAAGCAAAAATTCTTATTTTCATTAGTTTTCAACATAAAAGCTTTCCGGAAACCTGTCTGGACTGCGCACGCAAAATCGAGGAGGGTAAAAATGAGGTTTTTAAGGCTTAAGAGTGCAGATTCGAGTTCTAAAATATAAGATGACCTTTTGGATCATCACACTACTGCATTCGCGTAGAAGAAAATCATCTTGCCCCATTTTACCTTTCGAGATTACCTCCGCGAACGCGATGAAGGAAACACCACATAATAACTGAAGCCAAAAACCAGATTTTTTTAAGTTTCAAAATATCGCATAGAACTACGATTCGGACACTAAATCAAATGAAAATTTCAAGAAAATTTTAAAACTTTTATTTTCACAACCGAACGTCCGAATCACTTCAAATCAACTCCGTTTCTCACCAAATTCGACAGACAAGACATAAATATTATAGTGGACTTGTACCGGACTTCGGAACCAAAATACGGACCAGGTATTAATAAATCCAAACATCAGTCGATTCTTAAAAATCATAAATCTTTCAAACATTCAATTTTCAACAAAAATCAATAACTCGACCTAGGGACCTACGAATTCGATTTCGGGCATACGTCCAGGTCCCAAATTACGGTACGGTCCCAAAACACGGATCCTGGTCCGTTTGCTCAAAACGTTGATCAAAGTCAACTTAAATGAATTTCTAAGGCAAAAATTCTTATTTTTATCAATTTTTAACATATAAGTCTTTCCGGAAGAACACCCGAATTGCGCACGCAAATCGAGAAAGGTTAGAATGAGGTTTTCGAGACCTCAAAACGCATAATTAGGTTCTAAAATATAAGATGACCTATCGGGTTATCGCAATAATCTATATTATCTATATATCGAAAGGGCAAAGAGTGGTGATGTGGAACTTCTCAAATGATTAAAGTTTATATTGCACATAAAAATTTACACTTTTAGATTAAAGTTTGATGGACAATTCTGATGTGTGAAAACTCAAATGATTCACCGCTTAAAATGTACTAAAAGATTGGAATATTTCATTATAAAAAATATGTTTTTGCCATAAGAAACAGAAGAAAAAATAATAGGAGAATGTTTAATTTAATACAAAATTTATTGGTGTTTATATTGTCGACCCCCGATCTCTATTTTTCTTTTAATTTTGTTACTTCAATTATTGTCTTTGCACCGATGAGATAAGAAGTTAAAATTGCTGAAGTTTCAATATTTAAGATTGGCTATAGATTTGAAAAGTTATGACTGATATGCATGATTTATGTGTATGGGTGGTACTTATGCGTAATTATCTCTAAAAAAATAGAAAAAAGAATTATTATCTCATTTTACCCCTTTCAACATGAATACTAGTATTTACATATATATATATATATATATATATATATATATATACAATCTATATCTATCTATACTACATTAAAAATACGAATTCCCTATCGAAATGTCGTTCGCCTTTTTTACTCTTTAATAATAGATTATATACTAGACAAAATCGTAATTTATTTATTTTTCTAATATTTTAGGAATTTAAAATCAACTAAAATATTGATTTTAAGATCTTTCCTTATTTGAATAAGATTTGCGGATTTCCTAGAATTTAGGACCTTAGGAATTTAAAGTTGTATTGCAATTGTCGTAAGTTTTCAAAGTTTATTAGAATTTTATACATGAATTCCATAATTATTAGAACGAAAATATTCTTAATATTTCGAGGTCCCAATTTATTGCACTTTGAAATATAAAATCCTAATTGGTGTGTAGGCATCCAGTTCCCAATGTCAAGATTTCGAATGTTTGTTTTACGTAACGGATTGGTTATAAGAGGGGATATTTCGATGGCATCATATTAGTTGGGAAAAAATAAAAGGAGGTGTATAACGATACTTTTTGAATCTTTCAGATATGTGTTAATATTAATAGGTCCAAGAAATATGAATTAAAATTAGATAAGACATTTAACACCAAATATCAAGGAAGTCTTGCTAATTTTGTCAGCCTTTCGTTAAAATTCATGATTTTTAAGTTGAACCAACTAATTTTTTGATACTTGGAAAAGATGATTGTTTTTGTTTTTGGTTAGATAATTTTATTTAAATTTCATTGTCTATTGAATTAGCTTGACATCTTAAAAGCTGACGGAACGGTGTAATCATAATATATAACACATAAAGATAAAAAAGAGTGCAAGATCAAGTTCCCAATTCAGTTTGCTAAGCCGAAAAAATCTTGGTGACAAGAGTATTACTTCTTCAGTATGTGGCGTTTATATTGATGCGTCAAGTGCTAGATATGCATATGTTTGTCAAGGTATAATTCTCAAAAATTATTCATCCTAGAATTTGATATATGAATTTATTTATATATTAATTTTTTTTTCAAGAGACAATGAATGAAAGGTGCAATTATTACTTCACAGTATGCTCCTTTAGACTATCTTTTTTATATATGAAATTGTTGAGTTCCTTGAGTTTAAAGGCCTCTTTTTTGATGAAGCAAGTAAGGTGTTCATTTCGGTAGAGAGATTAAAAAATATGCCAAAGTGTGTTATGCTGCCAATAGGTAATTTTTCCTCATGATTTTACAGACATGGAGTTATTTTGTTCAAAGCCAAACACGTTCTTTTTCTTCTTTACGGTTCAAATTTTTCAATGGTCTTTTGCATAGGCTTTATTATTTTGGTAATATGGATTATAAAATCAAGAAGCTCAAATAAAATATTAATCGATTTTTTATTCTTTAAAAAATAAATGCCATATTGAATATTCGTATATATTTTATCGGTAATATCTTGAAAAGTTAAGATTTTTTTTAGGACTCATTGACATGAAACTCCGATTCCTATTTTCTTGATTCTTTGTTTTTAATTTTCTTCTAATATTTATTTTATAATTAAAATATATTTTAATAATATTATTTATGTGATTTTTAAAAAGGTACGGGGTACACGCACTAAGACTAGTTCTAAAAAAGAAGAAAGAAAGAAACACATTAGAGTGTTTGGTCAATATTGTTCCTTATCTTTGAGGGTATATCTATTTTGATCCCTCAAATATAGCCTTGAGCATATTTAATCCTTAAGTATGCTAAAGTGGAGCACCTTTAGTCTCAATGACACAATGTGTTCAAAAACTAACGGCGTTACCCACTCTGATTCATGAAGCAAATCTTCTGCTCTGAAGCAAAACGTTTCCTCTCCTTTTATTGGATAACGCAAATTATCACTTTAATTTCTCATTTTTGATAATGTTTTCTAAAATTTTGACCTTGAAAATATCCCCTTCTATGCCAGTTTTCAATGAGAAAATGACATTGTATAGTCGCTGTAAAAATAATAGCCGAAAAATATATAAAATTTATTTATTTTTTGTATGCTAACATACAATATATATATATATATACACACACACAAACCCATATATAAATTTTATACATTTTTAGGCTATTATTTTTACAGCGGCTATACAGTATCATTTTATCATTGAAACTGGCACAAAAGGGGATATTTTCAAGGTCAAAATTTTAGAAGACATTATCTAAAAATGAGGAATTAAAGTGATAATTTGCGTTATTCAATAAAAGGAGAGGAAATATTTTTGCTTCAGAGCAGAAGATCTGCTTAATGAATCAGAGTGAGTAACACCGTTAGTTTTTGAACATATTGTGTTAGTGAGACTAAATATGCTTCACTTTAGTATACTTAGAGACTAAATATGCCCAGGATTATATTTGAGGGACCAATCAAAGATAAGAGACTCAAAGACACTAGGGGACAAATTGTTAAAAAAGAAGGACAGGGTGTAACGGAAACATTATGTATACTTAAGGGTGCAACATGAAAAAACAAAAACATTGGAGTTGGCTAAAAGTTATCCACTTAGGATTGCAAGTGAGTTTCCAGATCGTAGGTTAAAAGCTGTGTCGGTCGCCTCGTTTCATCTCCATCTTCATGTCTGTATTTCTTTTGGGCATTTTCCTATAGAATTTTTTTTTTCTTTTCCCCTTCTTCCTGAATTGGAATTTGGGTGGAACACTGATCCTAACAAACGCTGCTGGTGACTTCAGTTCTTCCATCTAAACCTCTTCCCAGGTACATCTCTCTCTTCTGTTTTTTTTAAAGATCCAATTTTTATCAGTCTTGTGTTGACTAATTTGATTGATTTTTTTTCTGGGTGTCTTAAAAAGTTACAATTATTATCATCTATAAAGCTTGTGGTTGTGGTGACTAATTTAATTGGATTTTATTCTGGGTGTCTTCAAGATTCAATTTTTATCTATTTCTTCAAGTTGTTTTTTTGTTCAGAGTGTATCATCCCTGCAGTATCTACACGCATCATTGACTGAGACACTCAGATTATACCCTGCAGTTCCCTCGGTAATGCATACATACATATAGTGAGAAGGATATTATATTCACAAACATAGATATCAATGTTTCATGCATATACCTCAAGATAATGAGTTTTTCTTGATGCAGGATGGCAAACTGTGTTTATCAGATGACACTTGGCCTGATGGGTTCAGAGTAAGGAAAGGGGATGAAATTTATATAGGGTGATGATGCAGAGGATTTCCTGCCAGAGAGATGGTTTGATGAAAATGGTTGCTTTCGACGAGAAAGTGCCTTTAAGTTCACAGCTTTTCAGGTAACACAGAACCTTACAATCTGACAATCATTAGGAGCTTGGCAACACCAAACCGAATTAGTTTTTCCTGTCCAGCCTTGAGAAAGAATCGATCTAATCTCTAAGGTTTACAGCCTTAAAAGATTATGATAGATTATGATTGATGAATGGTAAAATTTTGTGATAAACTTATCCAAAGATTTTTATGGAAAAAAGGTAAGCTACAAATCTAACAAAGGCACCAACCCAATTGAGAAAAGGAACAATCTTTGGTCTACCCAAGTCAATAAAATCAATTAATCTGTCATGGAAAATTCTGAGATTCTGCAGACACAACAAATTATTCTCACTAGGGCAATCTGTTCTTTCATGCTTAGAACTAAAACAACTTCAGCCAAAGGGCTTAAAGATGACCACATCCCTGTGCTTCTCTTCTTCCTTTAGTTCATCCAGAATCTCTTTTTTCAACTCTTCTTTCAGCTCCTCTTGTAAATCAGACTTCACCTTGTTTCTCACTTTAGGCTCCAACTTACCAATTTCTTCTTGAACCTTAGTTTCCACTTTTTCCTCGACAACAACCATAAGTTGTTTTGTAGAATGATCTTTGTAAACTTTTGATGCACTCAAGGCCACCTAATTACAAAAAGAAAAAATTACATTACTTGTTCTTAACATTGTTAAACATAGACACTGAGAAAAGGAGCTACCATTAGAATGGAAAGCCATGCCAGAGCGGTGCTTCCCTCTTCACGGCATGCGTCTTCCGTCGGCATAGCAAATGGTTTTCCATCCCCATACGCCTTTGCCTTCTTGCTATACTGGGAAGAAAAAATGCAAAATCAAGCTTGTTAGGTGATGCGTAACATTATGTAGCCTACACTGGATGTTATGAGATGATCTGGAATATCTAAAGAAAAATCATACATGCTTCTTGTACCGTTAATGAAATGTAAAGTTTTAATATGAAGGAACAAACTCTTCCTATGAACTAAAAACTGTATGCAAAGAGGGGAATATCAGTCTTGTGCACCTATTATATGGTGGAGTCCTATTTCATTTATTCAGTAGGATTATCTCTCACCAGTTGTAAAAATCCCACATATGGTGCAAAGCATAGAAGGAAGTTACAAACCAATTATAGCACAATTAGGACCGAGGTTTGAATAACCTATGATAGTATAACATAGAGTAACTATGCGGCAACTGTAAGTACTCATTTACTAAATAGAAGGTTGAATTTGCATCCTCCATGCTGTACCACACACCAGAGTTTATGGCCATCAACTCCAAGGCTCTCAAAACAACTATAACTTATATTTCTATGGCTGATGGCATATTGTGGAGCAAAACTTCTGAAGGTAAGAAGCAATAACACACAACAAGAAGCCCACTGAAATCCCACAAGTGGGGTCTGGGGAGGGTGAAGAGTACGCAGACCTTACCCCTGCCTAATGAAGGTAGAGAGACTGTTTCCGAAGGACCCTCGGCTCAGGGATCCCTCTATACAAAAAACAAAAAGAAAGGATCCGAACTATATAAAAACAAGCTCTATTCCTATAGAGAGTTGATAAACTCTAGCATGCTATCTTCATCATTTACATCTTGAATGTTGCACCAAAAAAAGCCAAAGCCCACAAACATCTATACTTTAGCATTTGTAAAGGGTCTTCTTTCCCTTCAAAACACCTGGAATTCCATTGTCCCCATAAGGCCCAACAAACACAAGCTGGCACTGGTTTCCTTATTCTTTTTAGTGACTACTTGGTAGAGCTGCAACCCCAGCTTAGCCAATAAATGAAAATAGCCATTTCTTATTTCTAGAAAAATTAAGTCTGACTTTGACATAACAAAAAGTTCTACTAACTTACTCTCCCAGATTACCACTGAAGACACCTCATTCCCTCAATTTCAGTTCCTCCTCTCGTAACTTATCCACATTGTGCCTTTCTCTCTATCGTTCGTAGAATTCTTGTAAGAGAGTAGTATCCTGGCTTCTATCAATGGTGCCACCCTCCCGCTTCGCTAGCTTTTGCTTGATTACAGACATCAAACAACAAATATAAAAATGATGCCTTGTGGCTATCTCTGACTTCAAAACTTTGAAATGTCATCCAAACCCAATGGTTTGAAGAATTCTTCACTAGTTTGTAGGAGTAATACACCACAAAATATCAAGAGGAGCTGTTAATTAACATCACTCAAGCCACTCTACAGCAAATCCATATCAAGACATTGTATTGATCAGGGCAACCAGTCAATAGTAGGGTCCATGCTAAATTCGTAAGAGATGCATCAAATTGCTAGTGCTATACAAAAGAAGTCATGTAAGCTAAATCTATAATATGTCTTCCACAAAAATTGAATTCAACCTGGCTTGGTTGCATGGTCAACACCTTGATGTGTCCTAGTTATGTTAAGACTCAAATCCTCTTATATTCCCTACATGTCGACCTTTGTACCAAAAGTAGAAATCTCATTTCCCCTCCCCCCCCCCCCCCCCAAACAAAAAAAAACCCACCTAATTGAAAACAGCAATGAAATTTAATGGTAACACCCATTTTCATCAATGTGTTGCTTACAAGCATTACTGTGCTTCTCTGTGCAGCGGACAAACTATTGAGCTCGATGATGTTACTTTCCACCAATGTTTGACAAGATTCAATTCTGACTAGACTGTCAGCTTCGTACCACCAGAGATGAAGTATATGTACATGATTGTTTTTAGGCTCTGTTTTTATTATCTTCGGAGTTTGTGGCTCTTCATTTATCCTTGTAGAACAAAGCTAAATTGCTGATTTGTCCTTTTTGAATTTTTATGCAATCAGAGTATTGATTATATTAAGTTAATTATATAAATTTACTTTCCCAAATTTGATTAGGAAAGCATCAAATTGAGGCATGGTCTTTGCTGGCTCAGCGATCACCTTGGCCAAGGGTTTAACAGCATAGGTTTTCAGAACTTCTTTGCCAAATGAGATGAATCCTTCCAGTGGCATCCTGCAAATGAATAGAGAAATTGAAATTGTGATTTTTTCGTTCGTCTGAAGGATTCTCTGATGCTTGGGAAAGGGTGCAGTGGCCCTTCGTCTGAAGGGTTCCACTTAGAGATGGGCCTTTTGATTGGGCCCGACAAATGTGGCTATTTTTAATAGAAAAATGACATTTTATTGCCGCGGTAAAAATAATAGTTGAAAAAATATGTAAAATTTGTATATTTTTTGTGTGTTACACGTTTATAATGGCACGCAATGATTTAAATATTTATTTATATGAATGAAGAACAAAATTTAATTAATGAGAATTTTTATTTATAATAATACAACAATCATCTAAATGTCAAAAAAAAAAATTATTATTACATTAGCATAATATGTGAATTCAAAATGAAAGAACATTATCATAACTTACACAAATGATAAAATTTAGTCATGTTAGTTAGATAATTATGTATTATAATTTGAAAGTATTTAATATGATGGTATCTTAAAGAACACTTCTTTGTAGACGATATTTTTGTATATGTTTCCTTTTAATGCTTTAGTTACTCTGCCATAACCATCACTCTTGTTGTCGATATTGATATCCCTCCTGAAAGAACATATAATTGTTCGTATAATAAAATCTATTGCAGTGAGTATAGTTCAATATTTAGGATATTTCTCATATTTTATTTATTATAATTATAAAATATAAATATACTAAAAATTATTTTCACAAAAATTAAAAGGATATTTTTTACTTTCGGAAAACCAAAGTTGAATTTGGACATAAACATATATTTAGAAGTTTTGCATAGTGTTACCCACTTCTATTTTTTCTGTTTGTAAGCTATAGTACAAAATGATATATGTGGATGAATATTCATAACAATTCTTGAGCATTTGGCTAGTTGAATGTATGGACAAGTTTTATCACTGTACACCAACACAATTTTTCCTGGCGGCTGAAATAAATTCTTAATTCCATAATGAGGTATAAACTTTCTTGCTGGCACACGCAGCGAATGATGTAACACTAATTCAATAAGTTCATCCGAACCCAGTATTTTTAGTGGGCGTTTGGACATTAAATTATAAAATTTAGGGGAAAAAGTGAAAAAAATTCAAGTTAAAAATGGTATTTGAAAATTAGTGTTGTGTTTGGATATGAATACAATTTGAAACTATTTTTGAATTTTTGTGAGTGCTTTGAAGTGAAAATTTTGAAAAATAACTTTTTGAAATTTTCAAATTTCCAAAAAAATCTCGAAATTCAACAAAATTGAATTTTTTATTGCCAAACACTGATTTTGAAAAAAGTAAAAAAAAATAAATAAAAGATTTTTTTTCTTTAATGGATTATGTGAAAATCCATTAAATATTCAATAATCTTAGATCTGAAACCATAATTTTTAAATTACAATAAATTCAATATTAAAAATCTTGCATGTCGAATTAAATTTAAATCTTGGAACCGTCGGCACACCAGGAGGTAAATAGGGAAAGAAGCAAGGGGAGGAATAATATAATGTCACCAAGATTTTGATTATGACATGTTCTTGGCACCATTCATTTACACTCATTTTCCACATGAAAAACCAAATAGATGCTACCTTCAACAACTCATAATTGGGTGTGTCTTATTTTGATTTTTTTTTTTAAAAACTACAAAATATTACCTGCTCGGAGGAGAAAATAACAATTAATGTCATCTTTGTCCTAATAATTGTTAAATATTTAAGTACTTATATCTAGATTAATTACGTATATACTTAATCCAAAAGAAAATAAAAGGACAAATTAAGGGCCCGTTTGGCCATAGAAAATTTTTAATTTTTTTCGAAAATTTTTCACTTTTGTTTCGGAATCAATGTTTGTCCATGAAAATTTCAAATTTCACTTGAAGTTGAATATCAAAAAAATTCGGAAATTTGAAAAACTTCAAAAAGTTATTTTTCAAAATTTTCACTTTAAATCACTCACAAAAATTTAAAAAGAGCTCCAAATTATATTCATGTCCAAACACAACTCTAATTTTTAAATATCTTTTTCACTTAAAAAAATTCGCTTTTTTTCTGAAATTTTACAATTATTATGTTCGAAACGCCCACAAAATATTGCGTAAAATGTTTTTGGGTGTTATTTTATTCCACTATAAGAACTTTCGTTTGGTAAAAGATTTTGTTTGTCTCAATATAAGAAAAGATGTTATGGTATATGAATATAAGGTATATGTCATAATCACATAAAATATGAAAGAAAAATCGAAACATGCTGTGAAATAAGAAACACAGTATATGCCATTACTATCATTCGTTTCTTTCTCATTCTTAATGAGACAATCCACACGTGACATCGAATCACAGCCTAATTGTTTTTTCCAATATTTTTGGATTTTATAGTTAACAGTTGTTATACACCTATAAAAGTATTTGACGATCAAATAATATTTTGGCCGTTATTGATAAAAATTATCCAAAAATTAATTAATTTTTCTTTTTTAATGTTACATATAAAAGATAAGAAATTTATTCAAATTTAAAATTTCAAAAGATATGTATATTTCACTAGTTAAATATTGAAAAAAGTTAATATATTATTAATAAATTCATAACTAATAAATTGAAGAATTTTGTAATTGTAGCTTGTTTCGTAGATTTCATTCTTTTACTAGCGATATAACGCGTGAATTAGCGAAGATTCGTGTCCAAATTTTTAGCAAAGGTATCCAATACCTTTCCCTTGAAGACAATGTAAGAACTTAACAATTAAATTTTCTATCTAACTATTTTTTAAAATTTATCCAATGAAAAAAATATCATGTGCAAATCTTCAAATCTTATACATGAACAATACTTCGTCCGATCAATTACATCTTTAACATTTTCGGACAAAGATGTCCGACCATGACCTAATTCTCCAAAGATGGTTTAATTGACTTTAGAAATTGTCCAAACTGTGTTGTTAAAGTCAGGATCCTAATCCAATTAATCCTCTTTGAAAAGAACCAATGAGTTTTACTGCTTTTGTTTGATGACAATATTTACTTTTGGAAAATATGTTAGCAGCCACAAGAGTATATGTCCTGCACAAAAATAAATAATGTTCTTGTACCTCCTATTTGAATAATTATTTTTATTTAAAGGGAGAAGGAGTATCATTTTTTATTAACACTCTTTACACAATAAAAAATAGCATTATGTAGTCAAACTAGCAACTTAGATCGATATCATAGCTTGAAGGTGAGGATTCTTTTCTTTAGTTTATTATATTTTCATATGATGATGATGATGACGTCTTGGTAACGAGAGGTAAACTATAAAAGGTAAAAATTTATTATATTTTCATAATCAAGAAAATATCGAAAACCTCTTCAAAATTCATCTCAATCATATTTCTTCGTACTTTCTTTTAATTTGAGGCATCTCTTTCGCACCTAGTTCAAATACTTAGATACTATTAACAAAGTGCTAAAATTCACAACTAAGAATTTATTCAGTTTCCACAAATTAAATCACATGCATGAACTTGTGTTAAGTGTTAACAAGGTTGACAAATGATCAGTAGACATACGTAACTTTTGGTGTTTCTGTTTTAGTACTCAACTATAGGTAATTAGAGTTAGATCTATTACTTTCTCCGTCTATTTTCACTTGTCCACTATACTAAAAACGGCAAAGGGCTAATTATACCCATGTTGTAATGATCCGACCGGTCGTTTTGCTTTCTAGAACTCTGTTCCCCTAAGTAAGACTTCTCGTACGTCCTTTTACTGTTTTATGACTTGCGGGGATGGTTGGTTCGGGATTTGGAATGGTTCGAATTGAAATCGGAACACTTGGTTCCTTAAGTTGGTCTTAAAAGGCTAAGTTTGACTTCGGTCAACATTTTGAGTAAACGACCTCGGAATCGAGATTTGACGGTTCCAATAGGTTCGTATGATGATTTCGGACTTGGGGTATATTCGGATCGAATTTTGGATGATCCGGGAGCGTCTTGGCGCCTAATAGTAAAAGCTGGTTCTTTGAAGGTTTTAGAAGTTCTTTAAATTTGGTTTGGAGCGGGTTTTGGTGATATCGAGGTCCAGAAATTTCGAGACCGGGAACAGTTCTGTAATGTCATTTAAAACTTGCACACAAATTTTGGTGTTATTCCGAGTAGTTTAAGTACGTTTCGGCGCATTAGGAGTAAATTAAAAAACTTGAAGTTCATAAGTTTGATTCAATTGGTTTTGGGGTGTGATTCTTAGTTTTAATGTTGTTTCGGGCATTTCGAGAGTTCAAGCGAGTCCGTTTTATGATTCCAAATTTATTGGTATGTTCAGGCGGGGCCCCGGGCCCCCCCGAGTGTTAATCGGACGAGGCTCAGACCAAGTTAAAAATTAGGAGCAACAGCTGAAGCTCCCAGCTGCTGTCATAATCGCCCATGTGCTTGGCCAGCCGCAGGTGCGAGCTCGCAGAAGCGAGCCAGAGCTCGTAGAAGCAGCCAAGGAAGGGCAGCCCAAGATCCGCAGGTGCGCCCCAACCTCCGCAGAAGCAGGACCGCAGAAGTGGGACCCCGTCCGCAGAAGTGGAGCCAGCCTGCCTGGGCACTTCCACAGAAGCGACAACGCAGGTGCGGCCCTGCGACCGAAGGTGCGAGATCACTGGAGGCAGTGAGGTCTCTTTTAAAACGGGACTTAGTCATTTTGGCTATTTTATTTCCATTGTTGTGAGATTTTTGGAGCTCTTAGAGGGAATTTTACCTAGCACTTTGAGGTAAATAATTTCTATAGAATGTGTGTTAAATACATCGTTTATGGGTAAATTATAATATGTAAATTAGTGACAATTATGGGTTTACGTGAAAACCTAGGGTTTTTTAT